GGCCGGATCCGGCCCGTTTGAAATGAATAAAACTAAAAAAAAAAAAGACCGTACCCTTTTATGTAATGATGTTTACTTTGAATTTATATTAGTTCACACAAACACTCCATTCATGCTTTTGTTCCGGCCCTCCGGTCCAGTGTAAGAACCCATTGTGGCCCTCGAGTCAAAAAGTTTGCCCACCCCTGAATTAGGCAGAGGCAGCGAGCAAGCAGGAGGGAAGTTTATTAGAGGGAATGGGGGATGGAGCCAACGAGGAAGGTTAGGACTCAGCCTCCGCTGTCCTTGGGGTTGAATTTTATGCGCCAAAATGGCAAGGGGCGGAGGCTCAGGGATGTAGGTGTTCTAGTCTGATTAGATGGAGCTCGTTGTCCTTCAGACCAATTAGTGCTGGCCATTGAGGCTGTGGGCTGTAAGCCGTTGTTATCGTTGGCCTGCTGTCTCGCCCTCAGTGCGGCTGCCTCCTGCTGTGCTGGATAGAGTGACTGATGGCTGTTCCACAAAATGAGGCTGGGGCCACTTTCTCATTTGGGACTTTTTAGTCCACCTGAGCCAAATGTCCTCTGCTGGCCTGTCAAGTTACCCCACATATCAGAAACCAACAGCCTGCAGCTTGGTATGTCCATTACTATCAGGGAGGGTGAATTATCAGAACATTTCATATTGTAGTGTTCTGGGTTCACTCAGCGAGATAGACCACCGACTCAGAATTTAAATTTAAGAGCCTTTATTAAGCTGGCCAGCTGACTACAGTTACAGCACCCTGCCGAAGCAAAGGCTGAACTGCAGTCACTGGCTACAGGAGTTACAGCGTTTTTATTTGCAAAAACCACAAAGTTACAAAACCTTAGTTCCTGACACAGTACAGCATCATTACAGTGACTACCTTCCTATCTATGTGTTCTAGGAACAGAGAGTACAGCATGCTGGGAAGGGACCATGAGACCATATCTCAAGGCCTGGCCTGATGTCAGTACCTTCCTATCTATGTGTTTTAGGAACAGACAGCACAGCATGACCCGTCTGGCCAAAGTGCCAGATATGCAGCCCAGCACAGTAGTTATTAGATACTGAAAGACAATAAGTAGAACACCCAGTAAAAGCCAGATATTCCACCATAGGAAGCTACTGCAGTAACCTTTATAGAAAACATTCCTGCATCCTTTTCCCAGACAGTGGGTCCTAACTCATAAAGGTCCCCATGTGTGACTTTCTTCCCAAAATGAATAGAATGAGTATAATTCTGTATATTAGCAATAGCTGTCCCAACTCCTACTAGGCAAGATGTAAAGGTCTGTTCTACATAGGTTCCTCCCGAAAGGCAAAAGTCAGAGATATTAAGAACATTTTTATGCTAAATATACCCAAATATTTTCATCTCTTCTGAAGGAAATTAGTTCTCCTTTAGCCAGACCAACAATGGTCAAGAGCGAGATGATAACAAATGCTGCCTTCAAAAGATGACCTTGAGCCCTAGCGGTTTAACTCAGTGGATAGAGCATCGGCCTGTGGACCAAAGGGTCCCGGGTTTGATTCCAGTCAAGGGCATGTACCTTGGTTGCAAGGTCCTCCCCGGCCCGAGCCCTAGTCAGGGCTCGTGCAGGAGGCAACGAACCCATATGTTTCTCTCACATAAATGTTTCTCTCTGTCTTTCCCTCTCTCTTACCCTCTCCCTAAGAATCAATGGAAAAATATCCTCAGGTGAGGATTAACAAAATAATAATAATAATAATTTTAAAAAAAGAAAGAAAGAAAGAAAGATGACCTTGAGGTGTTCCTTAGGTTCTGGTGCCCTCTTCACTCTGGTGTGATGGATCCAGGACTTTCCTGCTGCCGGCTTCAGAGCAGTTGGAGTGGTGAGGAGCATGTTCCAGGATCCTGTCTGGTTATTCCTCTAGTTGATCATCTGGCAATCTGGTTTTCCATGTTTTGAGGAGAACTCTGTCTCTTGATTCAAAGGGATGTGGCAGACCTCTGACAGAAAATCCCTGGCACATGCCAAATTATTCATTCCAGTCAGTGTTTGATTAAGATGCTGCATATAATTCTTAATTTTAACATCATGGTCTACATATATATCTCCTGTTCCTATAGCCATCTGAAAAGGTGGTCCATATATTATTTCATAGGGACTCAAGTCAGTCCTGCTTCAGGGAGCTACTTTAATCCTGAGCCGAGCAATTGGCATCCGGGGATCCCAATGCAGATGAGTGTCCTGACAACGTTTGATATATTCTTCTTTAGGGGTGTGGTTCATTTTCTTAACCGTTCCTGAGGCCTAGATGTTATCTCTAGGGAAAAAAGGTCAGGGGATCCAAACCAGTGTTATGCTAGGGGAGGAAAGGCCATCCCACCCTACCTTACGATTGTCCCTTGGTAGGCTCCTGGGGCTTTCCTCCCTGGTGACCTTCTGTTTTTGCTCTGCTCATGTCTGTCTAACTGCCTACCGCATCCCTCCATCAAAGATCTTAGCTCTGAATTCTTTCAGAGAAAAGGGGTGCAGGGTCTCTTTTGTAGCTGCTTCCTGCTGAAGAGGGGAAAAGTTTTTCTTCAGAGCCAATAAATCCTTGCTCTCTGTCAGAGGGATGATGAGGCTTGGGCACAGGAGCAGGTGGTGATGGTACCTAGAGGCGGTATTCCGAGTACAGTAGGGCTTGTAACCTGGTGGAGACAAACTGTGCTATAAACTTTAGTCTTATTGGGGCAAAAGCCAGAACAACAAGAATTTTGACAAATGATCTCGTGGAAGGGGAAGAAAAACATATTAGTTCTAATAATTCCAAGTAAAAAGATGGGAGGAAAAATGAAACATTAGTTTGGAGGGAGGTAGCCAAATATTTAAGAAAACTAGATAAATTCAGGATCTAGTTCAATTCATAGGTGAAAAATAAAGCTTTGAGACTAATATTCACAACTGTGTATTAGTCTATTGAAACACAATCTCCCCTCCCTCCTAAAATCACTTTCATTTTTTTTAAGGAGGAGGGAAGAGGGGGAAGGAAGAGTGCAGTCGTAATAATTCCACTGTTTTTTAAAGTATATTTTTATTGATTTCAGAGAAGAAAGGAGAGGGAGAGAGAGATAGAAACATCAATGATGAGAGAGAATCATTGATCGGCTGCCTCCTGCACGCCCCTACTGGGGATCGAGCCTAGAACCCAGACATGTGCCCTTGACCAGAATTGTACCCTGGACCCTTCAGTCCCCAGGCCAACATTCTATCCACTGAGCCAAACCAGCCAGGGCACCCTCATTTTTATTAAAGAGGCAAATTAAGACCAGCCTGGCTGGCATGGCTCAGTGTTCGATCATTGACCTATGAACCTGGAGGTCGAGGTTCAGGTCCCAGTTAGGGTATATGTCCAGGTTGTGGACTCGATTCCCAGTGTGGGGCATGAAGGAGGCGGCCAATTGATGATTCTCTCTCATCATTGATGTTTCTATCTCTTTCTCCCTCTCCCTTCCTCTCTGAAATCAATAAAAATATACATTTTTAAAAAGACTAATTTTTTTTTACTGTATCAAATCTAGTTACAATTTGGCCTGATTGTTTGCATGAACACAGTAAGAATAATAGTTGATCATATAGGCTTAAAAAATATCTAGATATATAAAAGCCTAAGCAACCGACCAACTGAACGACCTAACAACTGGTTGCTATGATGCACACTGACCACCAGGGGGCAGACACTCAATCCAGGAGCTGCCCCCTGGTGGTTAGTGCACTCCCACGGCCAACCTCCCGTGGCCCCTCCCCCCCATCTGGCCAACCTCCCGTGGCCTCTTCCCCCGGCTGGCCGACCCTGATGGCCCTGATTGGAACCTCCCATGGGCCCTCCCCTTGGATGGCCAGTCCTGATGGCCCCAATTGATCAGGTCGACCAGCCAACCTCCCGCGGCCCCTCCCCCCGGCCAGCCAACCTCCTGCAGCCCCGATTGGCCCCAATTGAGGAACTCCACCCGTGCATGAATTCATGCACCGGGCCTCCAATATATATATATATATACTTTGCTGGGATCTCATGATTGAGCTTTAATTAGCCCCACAGGACAAAGAAGCTGAGCCACCTAGCTGCCATCAGGTTGGCCTGCAATACCTGTACACTTGGGTGAATTCCTCAAGTTGAGTTCCCAATGATGTCTTGAGGTTCCTTCCTTGCCATGTCTCAGGAAAGCAACATTCATTCCTTATCTGGAAAGACTGCCATGAGCCATGTGATCAAGCAAGGTACCAGGCTTTCTCCAAGGTGCTTTTATTGGCTTTTTAAGGCTTTCTGGTGACATTTAGAGCCAGGCATGTCTCTCTTAGATTTCAGTCAAAGTCTTGGTTAATAAAACCACAATTGGAAACTGGTCTTATTGATTTCATGCAAAGAAACATATTTCCATGACTTACTCATTAAGAATTGCCAAGTTCTGGAGTGATAAGTGAGGGGAAAAATATAAATGCCTCAATATTGCTTATGAAAGTATAATTTACCAAATTGCTTTAAGAAAAGAAACAAGTTTCCTTATGTCTGAAAAAAATTAAAAATAACCAATATTTTTAACAAAAAAAGTACAAAAACTATAATTATTTTCAGTTCAATCAGTCCCATAATCAATTTTGTTTCTCCTGAATCTTCTTGGCAGTACTTCTATAAATCCATATTCTCCATAGAGTTCTAATGCTTTTCATACAGTTCAAAGGGGATGATTTAAAAATTTATTCTCAGAGATAAGTAATTTAATATAAGTCAAAGTCCTTTCCATGGATCTCTCAGAAGATGTAACATTTTTTGCAAATTCATTGTAACAAAACAAGAAGAAATTTAAATGACAAGAAGAAATTATAAATTGTTAAAATAAGAAACATTCAAACTTGTGAAGAATTTTTGTGAATTTATTTGAGCCAAACTGTCAACAAATGGGTTTTTAAGTAATTAAGTACCTGATAAACATTACGCAATTGTTAGACCCCCCAGAGCAAGGACGATGGGCCAGGTACAGAAACTCATCAGGGCAGAAAGCTCTGGATGCCTAGCAAGCAGCAAAACTGGGAAAACAAGAACCTCACCCCCGAGGGTAACCTATCTTCCCCTAGCAAATCACTGGTCATTCAGTTTGGACCCTGATCTTTCAAATCGCTGGTCATGTGGTTTAGACCCCCTGACCTTTTCCTCCCTAAAGATAACATCTAGGCCTCAGTTGTGTTTCAGGCCCAGAAAAACAGCAAAACCAGACGAGTGACACAGTGGCTGCCTCAGGACCAGCTACATTGACTAATGACCTCCCCCCCCTTCCCTGGCACTGACTAATCAGTGGAGACCATGACCTTGAAAGAGCACACCTGGAAAGCTGATAAATATTCTATTAAGACCCTTCCCTGAGACCTCCCCTAAGATTTATAGGAACTGCAAGAGAGAGATAAATATGCTCAGGACAAAGGACCCAGTGGGAGCTGTGCCTCCAAGGAGCACACCCAGGCCGTTTCCCCACAGGCACGTATCCCCCAACCTCTAAGGGACCCCATGAGACTTGCAACTAGGGGAGCAATGGGCAGTGGCAGCTTGTCCTGGGCTAGCCCCCAACCTGTCTCTAAGGCCCCCTTTTCTCTGTGTAGCCCTTCCCTTTAGATATCCCCATCTCCCCTTCCCTTTTCCTTAAATAAATTCCATTTTCTTTAATCACAATCTGAGATGGCTATTTAGCCTCCCCATGCACCACTGATGTTAACCTTTCAGCTTCCACTGCTGAGGATAAAGTACAGGGAGGGGCAAAAGTAGGTTTACTAGTATAGTTGTGAGTACACAAAACACAGAGTTTATCCATGTATTACCATTTATTAATTATTGTATTATTTTCCATATCAACAACTGTAAACTTACTTTGCCCCACTGTATAAATGCTTTGGCATAAGATCCAAAGCTCCATATTACTGGCCTCTGTCTCTCAGACTCCTGTAGATCCTTACCCATATCAGAACACCAGTCATGCAAAGGAATTTCTTGGAATTCCCAGAATGTATTGGCATGTATTGCTTTCCTCCTGTCCATCTCCATTTCCTCCCAAGCATTCTTTTAAGCCATAGCCCCACAATCATCTCCCCTGACTCCCCCAAGACAAGGCTGGTGCCACAGTGTTCAGTGAATGGTTGTGGACGCCCAAGTGGGGTAGGATGGAGTGCCATCAGTCAAGGAACTCCCTGGGCCTTGTCAGCCATAGGATCTCTGGTGTCAGTGTTGAAAACCTGAGCATAGGAATGGGGCAGGGGCTGGGAGAGGGGAGTCTGTAGGGACCCTGGAGTGGGGCGGAGAAAGGCCACTTCTTTCTGTTGCCAAGGTCCTAGCTCTCTCTGTGCTTTAGGGAGTGGGTGTTGGGGGATGGTCATTGTGAGTGGCCACAGGGGACCCTAGTGGGACAGGCCTAGGGCAGCCAGATAAAATATAGAATGCCAAATTAAAATTGAATTTTGGGTAAACAATAAATTTTTATAAGGATATCCCAAATATTTTATGGGACATACTTAAGCTAAAAAATGTATTAAGTGTTTATCTGAAATTCAAAATTGACTGGGAGTCTGTATTTTGTTAATATATTTTTATTGATTTCAGAGAGGAAGGAAGAAGAAGCGAAAGATAGAAACATCAATGATGAGAGAGAATTATTGATTGGCTGCCTCCTGCACGCCCCACTCTGGGGACTGAGCCCGCAACCCGGGCATGTGCCCTGACTGGGAAAGAACCATGACCTCCTGGTTCATAGGTCGATGCTCAACCACTGAGCCACATGGGCTGGCTGGGAGTCTGTATTTTTATTTGCATTTAGCAAATAAAGGACAACCAAATAAAGGCAACTCTAGGACAGCCATTACTATTTAGTGCCCCAAGCAAAGTAGGTCCTTTTAAATTTTATTTTAAATCCTCACCTGAGGATATGTTTTTTATTGATTTTAAAGGGAGAGGAAAGGAGAGGGAGAGAGAGTAAAACATCAATGGGAGAGAGAAACATCTATGGGTCGCCTCTGTAAGTACCCAGACTGGGGATCGAACCAGCAACCTGGGTATGTGCCCTGACCGGGAATAGAATCTGTGACCTTTCCAAGTACAGGACAATGCTCCAACCAACTGAGCCACACTAGCCAGGGCAAAGCCCCTTTTTATACACCTTGTCACCTCTGTCTTTCTTG